TGCCCCATGAGAATTATTTTTTACCTGGGAATACTTAGAAAGAAAGCTAGATAGAAATTTTAATTGATATTTACCTTTAAGACTTTAAATCTTTAACCAAGGAACATTTCAGAGTGGTATGCTATTGGAAGCTACAGCTCAATGGCAGTATACTATTTTTTTAATTTATTTTTAACTGTTATTGTCTTTATCTTTTTAAGTATAGTTGATCTACAATATTGTATTGGTTCTAAGTATTCAACATAGTGATGCAGTAGTTATCTACATTATTAAATGCTCACACCAACTTGAAAGGAAAGGAGCGACACATAGCAGTAATTCACCGGAGAGTTCCGCTTTATTAGGGAAAGGTGCTGGGTTATATAGGAGGGGGCATGAATTGATTGAGGTGTCACTTCTACGGGGCTGGTGGCTGTTGGCTAGGTGCTGGGATTGGGAGGGGGGCGAGAGGTGATTGGGCTTCATGTGGCGCCGGCGGGAACCGAGGACCCGGAAGAGAAGCCGGAAGTTTTCCATCTTACTGGTGGGGACCCTTCACAACTAGTGTAGTCACTATTGACATGGAAAGATATTACAGTATTATTGTTTATATTCTCTATGCTGTATCGTCATCCCAATGACTAATTTATATTATATTTGAGATTTTGTTTCTCTTTATCCCCTTTACTTATTTTACCCACCCATTTCAACTCCTCCCCCATGGTAACCACCAGTTACTTCTCAGTGTCTCTGAGTCTACTGACGTTTTGTTCCTTTTGTTTTTGTTTGTGTTTATAGTCTACAAATAAGTGAAGTCATATGGTATTTGTCTTTCCACTGGGCTTATTTCACTGAGCAAAATACCCTCTAGATCCATCCATATTGTTGCAAATAGCAGGATTCCTTTTATTTTTATGGGTGAATAATATTCCATTGTGTATATATATATGTAACACGTCTTCTTTATCCATTCATCTACTGATGGACACTTTGGTGCTTCCATATCTTGCCTATTGTAAATAATGTGGCAGTAAACATAAGAGTGCATATGTATTTTCGTATCAGTAATTTTGTTTTCTTCAGGTAAATTCCCAGAAGTGAAATTGTTCTACTTTGAATGGGTTAAATGGTATTTCTACTTTTAATTTTTTGAGGAACCTCCATACTGTTTTTCACAGTGGCTGCACCAATTTACCTTCCCACTAACAGTGTAGAGGGGTTCCTTTTCCTCCAGATCCTTGCCATATTTTGCTCTTGTCCACCTAACCTCTTTCTCTCCTCTCAGTTTGGGCTTTGAGGCACATCAGACTGAAGAGCATCCCTGGGTGTGTGTGTTGGACAGTGTGGAGGACTATGCTAGGGAGAGGAGAGAAATGGCAAAGAAAGGAAATTTACATTGAAGAGAAAGCACTGATGGAAGAAAATAGATAGGATTCCAGGGACAAAAGAGGAAAAAGCACAAGACGGATGAAGATTCTCAGAGAATATTAGCAGAGATTTTTGAGGAATAGCTGCTATTTGGGGAATAGAGGTTGAAATGACAGGAAAAACTACCTTATATGTTTTGCTCTACATATTTAAGGATGCATCTCATAGACCAACAGGCAAATGAAAAGATGTTCCACATGTACCCAGAGCTTTCAGAAATGAAGATTTTAATTTGGGGGGAGTTTTCTCTGAATTTTACATTATGCTAAGACTAGGTCACAAAGTGCTTGACTTAATTCCAGCTATCAAAATACGCAGGAACACCATTTTCTATAACTGTAAGTTACTGACTCCTAATTTTAAGATTATTAGGAAGATATTTTAAAAAACAGGGAAAATGGTAAGGGGCAATGTCTTTTTTAAAGATGCATTTATTTGTGGTTTTAATAATTTTGTGAAACAGAAAATACTCTACTATGAAGCATTTAGCATTGCCACTCCCCTGAGATCTTCCTGAAATCAGAAACTCTTTTTGCTGCAGTCTTTTAGCATGTTTCTTGTATCTCTGTTAATGCTTAATTTATTCTGCCTGGCTTATTTTTTCAAAGAACTCTCTTAATATGAATATAATATATGTTGGCCTGGATTTATTCATTTTTCCCTCCAGCTTTATTGAGGTATAATTGACAAATCAAATTATAATATATCTTATATTCTGCCTATTGTAATACACTAAAATACACACATAATAATTTGATATACATGTACATTATGAAAGGAGTCCCACAATCAGGTTAATTAACATCCTCAGCACCTCACATAGTGACTTTTCTTTCTTTTTATGCTTAAGATTTACTTTAGCAAATTTCAAGTATACAGTGTGGTATGTTTGACTGTAGCCACCATGCTGTGCCTTAGGTCCTCAGGACTTAACTCATCTTACAATTTACAGTCTGCACCCTTTTGCCAACCTCTCCCCATCATCCGTCCACCCCAGCCAGACCCTGGCAACCACCAATCTGCTTTCTGTTTTTATGAGTGGCTTTTTTATATTCCACAAATAAGTGAGATTATACATTATTTTTCTTTATTTATTTCACTTAGCATAATGCCCTCTGGGTTCATCAGTGTTGTCACAAATGTTGAGAATTCCTTCTTTTTATGACCAAATAATATTCCATCGTGTATATATACTCCATTTCCTTTATCCATTCATCTGTGGATGGACACTTAGTTTTTGGCTGTTGTGAATAATGTTACAGTGAACATAGGGGTGCATACATCTCTTCAAGATAGTGATTTCCTTTCCTTTTGATGTGTACCCAGAAGTGGGATTACTAGATCATATGATAGTTCTGTTTTTAACTTAGACTGGATTTATTCTTAATTGTGTGTTACAAAGCTCATTGAAGACAGAGATCATATCTTATTTATAAAACACTATCATGACTTATAAAAGCCTCCCTGACCTTGAAGTCAAACACACACCTGATTGTGAATCTTGGCTCTGCCACTCCTCAGTTAAAATACTAAATAGTTTTTTTGTGGTTGTTACTGTCATTTAACCCTGTTTCTTCTCGGTACTCTCATCTTTCAGTTGAGATAGTAATGTCTATTTCATTTATGAACATTAAATGAAAAGATGTATAAAAGTGTTTAGCACACACAAGTATTCTGTTATGTGTGTGTCTACTTTATTGTTTGAATCCCTGCCATGTAGCACAGAAGTAGGACTCAGATCTTTGCTGTAAAGTCATGGTTAAAATGAGAGAAGAAAGCCATGAAAGGAATCCAGCAGTGAGCACCCTTGGTTTATTGTACTTTTATTTTCCTCTGTGACCTATTAACATCCTCAGCACCTCACATAGTGACTTTTCTTTCTTTTTATGCTTAAGATTTACTTTAGCAAATTTCAAGTATACAGTGTGGTATGTTTGACTGTAGCCACCATGCTGTGCCTTAGGTCCTCAGGACTTAACTCATCTTACAATTTACAGTCTGCACCCTTTTGCCAACCTCTCCCCATCATCCATCCACCCCAGCCAGACCCTGGCAACCACCAATCTGCTTTCTGTTTTTATGAGTGGCTTTTTTATATTCCACAAATAAGTGAGATTATACATTATTTTTCTTTATTTATTTCACTTAGCATAATGCCCTCTGGGTTCATCAGTGTTGTCACAAATGTTGAGAATTCCTTCTTTTTATGACCAAATAATATTCCATCGTGTATATATACTCCATTTCCTTTATCCATTCATCTGTGGATGGACACTTAGTTTTTGGCTGTTGTGAATAATGTTACAGTGAACATAGGGGTGCATACATCTCTTCAAGATAGTGATTTCCTTTCCTTTTGATGTGTACCCAGAAGTGGGATTACTAGATCATATGATAGTTCTGTTTTTAACTTAGACTGGATTTATTCTTAATTGTGTGTTACAAAGCTCATTGAAGACAGAGATCATATCTTATTTATAAAACACTATCATGACTTATAAAAGCCTCCCTGACCTTGAAGTCAAACACACACCTGATTGTGAATCTTGGCTCTGCCACTCCTCAGTTAAAATACTAAATAGTTTTTTTGTGGTTGTTACTGTCATTTAACCCTGTTTCTTCTCGGTACTCTCATCTTTCAGTTGAGATAGTAATGTCTATTTCATTTATGAACATTAAATGAAAAGATGTATAAAAGTGTTTAGCACACACAAGTATTCTGTTATGTATGTGTCTACTTTATTGTTTGAATCCCTGCCATGTAGCACAGAAGTAGGACTCAGATCTTTGCTGTAAAGTCATGGTTAAAATGAGAGAAGAAAGCCATGAAAGGAATCCAGCAGTGAGCACCCTTGGTTTATTGTACTTTTATTTTCCTCTGTGACCTTAAGATTTTGAGGCCCAGGGGCTGCTGTGGGGGCTTGAGGCCTGCCTGTAACCCAAATGGGCCTTTCCGGAGGTGGGGTAGGAGGAAAAGTCGCCTGTTAGTCCCAGGGCCTCCTTGGGACTTCTGAGTCTCTCAGGGGAATTCCAATTCAGTCTCCAGTTCCTTCTCCTCTCCTGCCCTCCCCCACAACATCTCGGCTGAGTCTAATGATGGGAACTTCCAGGGACTAATCTTTACCTTCGTGGGGTCCCCTGGGAGTTGGAGACCCACTTAAACACCATGTCCTGCATGAAACACTTCCTGTTTCCCCAGATTAGAAAGAATCTCTCCTGTGGCCGCAAGCTCTTATGCCCAATTCTAGCTACTAACTTTATGTTATTTCCCCCTGGCGAATAGCAGGGTCTCTGAGCACAAAGTGTGGCTCTGGTTCCTGTTTGATCAGTACAGTGAGCTGTACACATGTTCCCAAGTAATTACTGTTAGATTGAATTCTACTGAAGCTGGCCTTGGGGCTGCAGCCCGGAGCTGAGCAGTAAACCCAGGCCTATCCCTAGACTCCGAGGTGCTACCCTGATCCTCAGAACTTTAAGACAGGAACGTCTGCCCTGTGGGAGAACACAGCCTCTGGGCAATTAGCAGCCTGGAGTTCATTGTTTGACTCATTCCAGGAAGTTCCCAGCAACAAATGTCTGAAAGCTGACAGGAATCCAGAAGAAAAACTTTATTTAGGGATAAGGCATTTACGAAATGTTGACATCAAACTTTTCCCTGTCCATAATTCATCTTGTATATGATCCAGCTATTACCTTGGAGCATGGTAGAAATTCAATACCTGTAACAGCTAGAAATAGTATGAAACAATCCTGACTCTGTTAGCAGTTTACTTAAACTTTGTTCTAGTACTGATATAAAAATAATAAAGCAATAATTTATTTTGTCCCAAAGACGATGATTTTAAATCATCTGACATGCACAAACTGGTAAAGTTTTCATTCTCGATTATCATTACACATAGTTTGCTAAAGTACCTGGCCAAAAATATTTTCTAGATATTTTTCTAAGTTGTTTAACTGAATTCAGGTAAAATAACATCTGAGGAAACATTTGCCAGCTCAACAACTTGCTTTTCTTACTTGGCATGGAAAAAAATTACCCTTTCAGCTTCATCAGTGTCTCTTTCACCACATGGCCCTTAGTTCTGTTTGAAGAATGCTAGAGCAGCTCCTCTTGATTTCATGTAGCTTTTCACAAATCCAGTGAGTTTCCTGAGCCCCTCCATCAGCCCGTCCCCAGTGATGGCACAACAGGGCTGCACATACCAGTTCCGGTCACTGCAGAGCTTCTGCACTTTGAACATTCTGGTGATGTCCTCGGCAGTCAGAGCTCCAGGCACATCTTGTTTGTTGGCTAATAGAACAACAGGCACAGTTCTAATGTGCTCATCCTTCAAAATGTGTTCAAACTCTCTCCTGGAGTCTTCCAGTCGCTGTTTGTCCGTACTGTCCACAACATAGAGCAGCCCATCGGTGTTCTCACAGTAGTATCTCCACACAGCTCTCATTTTTTCCTGGCCTCCAACATCCCAGACCGTGATCCAAAGACTCTTTTCCACCTCGATCATCTCCACGTTGAAACCTATCGTTGGGACAGTCACAAAATCCTTAGCGAGCTTTAATCTATACAGGAGAGTGGACTTCCCAGCTGAATCAAGACCCAGAAGAAGAATTCGGGCTTGCTTGGCTTTGGGGTTTTTAGAACTCAGTAGACCCATTTTATATCTTTTTTCTTTAAAGACCTTTTATTTGGCCAGAGATAATGTTTCCTCTCTGGGTCTTGCATGAAAATGTTGGGAGGAAAGAAGAGAGCAAATGCTTCATGTTATATTTTAATAAAATAGGAACTTGCGTGCATTCGTATGGTAGCTTATCAACTTGATTATGGGCAACAATGTTTTATCTGTAGTCCCAGCCAATCCAGAGAAATCTGGGATGTGAGTAACCAGCCAATGTTAATAGGAGATCAAAGGGGAAATTCTTTGTGTGTGAGTAGGACTGGGGAGGGGCCTGCCCGGGTGATGTCACAGCTTGTTCTCTTCCAGATGTTGGAAATGTAGAGGTAATAGAAGGTGCAGACCTGCACGAGCGCATGGTATGGTAGTAGAATAAAAACTTAACTTTACAAGTGGTTTGAGGAACTTCTCTAGTTATTTGACCATTTATCTTATCCCAGTTGTGAATAAGTAACCAGATTTCTGAAGTCATGAAGAGAGAGTTTATCTCATACGGCCCTCAGCAGTATCTTTAGTACTTTCCTCTTGTCCAGATTACTCAGTGGGGAACTTTAAAGCACCCAAGGTTATCTCAACCTTATTCCTGTAATCATATAGTCATTTCTTTAATCTTCTGGGCAGAAAATTCACACTATTCACAAGACCAAATTTACAGGAGTACGAGGGAGCTCATAACACAAATACTTAAAATTGATCAGTCTGATTAAAGATAACAGATTGAATACATGTATTTATCTCCTCTCCTTCTCAAGACCCCACCAAAATGGTGGTAAAGGAATAAAAACAACATATAAACCCATAACAAGAGCAGGGTGTCCATCAGAGGGTGAGAGATTTCAACAGAATTCTGGAAGGTGAAATATAGATGGAAGATGAGTGGTGACTGAGGCAGCAGAATGAAGCTGAGGCTTGGAATGGTGATGCACAGGATACAGAAGGAAGGGGTGAAGTGAGGGACTACAAACAGAAGGGTGAACTAGAAGTCTGGGAATAAACATACACACACACACTCCCTCTCTCCCTCTCTCTCTCCCCTACTCTCCCTTGCTCCCTCTCTCCCCCAACCTCTGCTGGGTGACTATCAATGAGATGTTATTCCTTAGGCCAAAGAAAATGTTTTCTAAAGAAATTTATGTCAGAAAACAGACTGTTCATGTTTGACAGTGGGGAGTTTCCACATCATAATGCCTAACTGAACATTTAATTAACCTATAGCCAGCCTGGCAGTTGGCAAACATTGCTCATGTACACAGAGTTCCAGTCAGCTTTTCTGTGCACAGAGGTTTCCATACTTCATATATAATATGCCCTCAATATAATGAATGACCAAGGGCAAAATAAGAAGGCTTTAAGAAAGTTTAAATACAGGGAATGCGGGGAACAGAAGAAAATTTTCAAAAAACTTCTAATGTTTCCATAGAAATTTGAAAAGATATTACATCCATAAAACAAGAAATGGATACTATTAAAAAGCCACTCAAAAAACAAAAACAGAACTCTTGAAAATTAAGACCTGATTTCCAAAATTGTAAAAAGATCAGTAGTAGGTTGAAAAAAATCTTTCAGAAAGAATACAGAGAATATGAAAGACAAGCAAGAAGATCAATCCAGCAGTTTAAATCTGACTTGGAGGACTTTTTCCAGAGAGCAGAAAATATGCAAAAGAGGAAATTATCAAAGAAACAATATAACTCTATTTTCCAAAGCTAAAGAATAAACTGTCTAGGTTGAAAGGCTTCCCTCAATACTTATCAGGATGATTTTTTTATTTTTACTTTGTTATCATTAATCTACAATTACATGAAGAACATTATGTTTACTAGGCTCCCCCCTTCACCAAGTCCCCCCTCAACATACCCCATTACAGTCACTGTCCATCAGCGTAGTAAGATGCTGTAGAATCACTACTTGTCTTCTCTGTGTTGCACAGCCCTCCCCATGCCCCCCCCTACATTATACATGCTAATCATAATGCCCCCATCAGGTTGATTTTTAAAAGAGCTATACCAAGGCATATAATATATGCTTTACTTTTATTAAAATTGAAGAAACAATTTTTTAAATTAAGCAGACTATGGGTATAGAAAATACATTTATGAAGAAATTAAACCTTTTTTAAAAAAAGTCTTAACTAAATCATTGTATCTTGGAAAGCAGACAACATTTGCATTCATTTATTCCTCTAGCCATTCATTCATTCAACAAATGTATATATTTATTACTTGTTGTGTGAACCACCTTGTACTAGATTCCAGGGAGGACACACAGATAAGTTAGGCCTGCCCTTAGGTGGCTTTCATTACGGAAAAGGGAAAAGATATGTTAACAAATTAAAAATAATACAAAAATGGAAATACTGTAAGAAAAGAAGAGTTGGCAGATGCTGGATATTCAGAGATTATTTCAGGATAGAAGACATCAGGAATATCACCCTAGAGAAGGTTAAATATTAAACCAGGCCTTCCAGAAATGCAGTGGGGGAGGCTCCTTTATTAACAAGATGGTCTGTGTGGCAAAGTCTCAGAAATGGAAAACATAGCTTGTATATGGAAAAATAACAGGTATGCACACGTGAGGTTTTTTTCCCTAAAAACATGTTTGACTGTCAAGATTGTAGGACATACTATAAGACTACAGACCTGGACTCCTCAAAATTTCTCTATCATAAAAGCCAGAAGAAGGAAAAAGGAGCATTGGGAAAAGCATTCTAAATAAAAACCTACATACTTCTAAATGCATTGTGTGATCTTTGATTAGATCCTTTGTCCAAAAATATTGATTAAAGAAATTATGGCAATTGAGGTCAGTTGAGTATGAAGTATATATTAGATTATCTAAGAAGTATATATTAGTTATTTATCAATATTAAATTTCTTGAATGTGATGGGTTGTGGTTATGTAGGAGAATGTACTTGCTCTAAAGAAATCATGCTGAATTACTTGGGGATGAGCAGCAAGTTAATTTCACTTGATTTAGTGTGTGCATGCACGCACATGCGTATGCGCGCGCACACACACACACACAGCAGAAATGTGGCAAAAGTCCAGAAGTGGTGGATTTAGGTATTGGGTGTTCAGTGTATCATTTTTTGTATTGATGTATTGCTGATATACAATCTTTTATTGGTTTCAAATATGTAACAGAGTGGGTCAACAGTTACCCATATTATTAAACCCTCACCCCCTCTAGTGCAGTTTTAGTGTGTTACTTTTTAACTCTCCTCTAGGTTTAAAATATTTTTCAAAATAACATGTTGAAGAAAGAATACAATTGAAATAAGCTAAGCAAATTAGGCTTTAGTCTTCAGTCATATAAAGAAATCATTCAGCTTGCACATGTGATGACTGTTCCTCCAAAGACAAATTTAAGGACTCTTGATTGCATTACCACTTGAGCTCTTCCCCCACCTCCTTATTTTAAATAAATTAAATTTTAAAAGAAAAGGTTTCATACTTGCTTCATATTAAACTTGATGATATATTCTTAAGAGACTCACTGTCAGTACTGGGATAATACTTTAATTTGCTCTGTCTACAATGAAGATAATCACACATAGATGCCTTCACTCTCTTTCCCATTTGACCAGTTGTACCTTGTTTTTAGAATAGCCAACTAAATGAGGGTTAAACTCTGGGTGAGGATTATATACAAGTGAAATATGATTCCCTCTTTTGTGAAAGGAAGTAAAATAACTTCTTTCTCAATGTTTATTTTCATTAAGTCTGCAAATGTTTCAACATTCTTTTCTACTGTCTGACACCACTTAAGGATTCATTTGTCCCAGTCAAACCTGAGGAAGGCAAGGTATGTGTTTTCTGTAAATCATTCTGAGATTATGCAAATAAAAGACTGAGAGAGTTACTGGCAGGCTCCATGGTATCACAGGAAATTTGTTTTAAAATACAGGAATGAAATAAACATTGGTGTAAATTTCTTACCATAAATGATGGTGGGACACAAAAAGTCCTAAATTAGAAATTCAACCTTGTACTGACCAAGTAAAGATATAGAAACCTTTCCTCCTGGAAGAACATGACAACTTACTCATTATCTTTATTTTTCACAGATAAAGAAGAATCAGGCTGTGATTGGGTGACTTGCTTAGCTTAAACAGACTTGGAAAACTCCATTTCTCCTACAATAACTTTTTAATAGGTCTTCTTAAAAGTAAACTTTTGGAAAATTAAAGTAAAACATACATATAGAAAAATGCAGAAGTCATAAATGTACAGCTCAATGAATTATCACAAATTGAAAATCCCATGTAACCACCCCTGAGGCCATGCTGAACTTTCGATTTTTCATTTTTGTGGCAAGTGAAAATTCTGGGCCTCTGCTCCACATCAGAGAAATACAAATTAAAACCACAATGAGATATCACCTCACACCAGTAAGGATGGCCATCATCCAAAGGCAAACAACAACACATGTTGGTGAGGTTGTGGAGAAAAGGGATCCCTCCTACACTGCTGGTGGGAATGTAAATTAGTTCAACCATTGTGGAAAGCAGTATGGAGGTTCCTCAAAAAGCTCAAAATAGAAATACCATTTGACCCAGGAATCCCACTTCCAGGAATTTACCCTAAAAATGCAGCAGCCCAGTTTGAAAGACAGATGCACCCCTATGTTTATCGCAGCACTATTTACAATAGCCAAGAAATGGAAGCAACCTAAGTGTCCATCAGTGGATGAATGGATAAAGAAGATGTGGTACATATACACAATGAAATATTATTCAGCCAAAAAAGAAAAGAAATCCTACCATTTGCAAAAACATGGATGGAGCTAGAGGGTATTATGTTCAGTGAAATAAGCCAGGCAGAGAAAGACAAATATCAAATGATTTCACTCATATGTGGAATATAAGAACAAAGGAAAAACTGAAGGAACAAAATAGCAGCAGAATCACAGAACCCAAGAATGGACTAACAGTTACCAAAGGGAAAGG